CAGGGGCTATGCAAAGACATGATAGTATTGGTAAGGCAAAGCAGGTGCCATGAAAAGCAGAAGTGTTTGTGCCATTGTGGTTGGTACTTGTACTGCAGCTGCTCCCTGATTATCAACAACGGCCGGAACAGCAGCAGCAGCAGCAGCAGCAGCAGCTGCAGCAGCAGCAGCAGCAGCAGCAGCAGCAGCATCAGGATTGCACTGGACGTGCTAGCAGGTAATGTAGGAGCCTTAATCGTTACAGGGCTTTGGGTTTAGAGTTTAGGGTTAGGGTAATCAGAGTATAATATAACCAAAACCCTATTCTATTTATCAAGGCCCGTACATTATGTTCTTTCGATTTGAATCTGGGAATCGTGGTTCGTGGTGCTAGGCCTTCGAGTCAGACGTCTTGAGGATGTTTGGTTTCAGGTTTCAGGCGTTAGGTCCGAGAATTCTGAAGTTGACATCCGAGAATGCCAACCACTACCTGAGTCATACGGTTGATGATTTAATTCTGCATTACCTTAAGGACCCTAAACTATGGGAATTGTCATATATTCCTTATTATGGGTAATGCAGGGTTTATATCATCAATCGTGGTATTATACCAAGGACTCCAGCAAGTAATTCGCATGTTATGCTTATTTGGGTTCATCAACCGTATTGACACCCTAGACGATTTTTGTAGCAGCCACTCCGGACCGGTCTCCTCTGTTCTCTGACATCTGATTCCCAAAGGCAGATGCAGACATTTACTTGTCGGGTTTAGGGTTTAGGGTTTAGGGTTTACCAATGCTTCACAGAAACATCCCAAGCAGCTCAAATCTAAGCATTAAGGCCGTTACTGGGTCCTTGGTGGACACAGTTGTACAAATAAAACCCAACAAGGATCAAACATGATCATTTTTCATATAGTTGGGAACCAGGTTATATTCCTATACATCTTGTTAAAGGTCCCCCGATTGGGGGGTACCCACAGGGCGCTTTGAGTTTGGCAGGCCAAACTACGCAGTAAGTACTTCGACGGAATTGTCAGGCGTATTCCCCAAACCCTAAACCCTAATACTCAACTCTAAACCCTAAACCCTAAGCCCTAAACCCTAAAACCTTAAAGCCCTAAAGCCCTAAACCCTAAGCCCTAAACCCTAAAAAATTAAAGCCTTAAAGCCCTAAAACCGAAGCTCCTGAGCCTGAAACTGGAGCTTCAAGTTGTTTTTTCGAGGAAGTTCAGCCGAATGAACCGGCAGCATCCTGGCTTGGATGTCGAGTTGTTGCTCCTTGAGCTTAGGGTTTAGGGCTTCGGGTCTAGGGTTTAGGGTTCAGGGGTTTAGGGGTTTAGGGGTTTAGGGTTTAAGGCTTAGGTTTTCCTAAGCCGGGTGTTCGGGGAGGGGTTAAGAATTGTCGCAGAGCTTTGTACGGAAGTCCAAACGGAACCACTTCCAGCAACACAGCACCTCCTGCCGTCAATTGCTGGTAGGGTCTATACACCGAACCCTAAACCCTTAAGCCCTAAACCGCAAACCCTGTTTTGGAATCTCCGTGTTATGGATCCATTGACCACAGATTCTTCAAGGAGTCCTTCAGTTAATCCAGTCTTTATGTATGATTTCGTTTTTAGTTTCGGGTTTAGGGTTTAGGGTTTAGGGTTTAGGGTACAAGGTTTTTCGAAGCCACAAAAAACTAAACATCGGTGTTGTCTCAGGATGTCCAACCCAAGCCAAGACGAAAATGTAGCATAAGTTCCACAAGCGTCGGAATTATACTTTTCTGTCACAGGCAGGGTTCGCTCCCTACTTTTCCTCCAGGGCCTGCTTCAAGCTCCGTAACGGAAGCCCTAAAACAAACGAACCTACAACTTAACTGAACTTCTGACACGGTTCTAGACAGTTAAGGCCCGCCCCTCCCTGAACCCATCATACAAAGTGGTATAGACAACATGTAGCTTGAATCCCTCAAAACCCTGAACCCTAAGCCCTAAACCCCTGCGGAAGTCAGTGTGAGTCTAGCATGATATCTCCAAGCCGCATTCCACTTATTCGGCCTTCTGTCGTTTAGGGTTTTGGGGCGTAGGGTGTAGGGGTTTTGGGGCTTAGGGGTTGTTTTGTTTAGGGTGTAGGCTTATGGGTTATTCGGGTTTAGGGTTTAGGGTTTTTTTGGGATTTTCTCCATGCAACTTGCATTTGGTGGTGTTCCGGTGTCCGAGCCGTCAGAGTCAGAGAGGTCACCCAACAAAGACTTCCGCTGAGGGCGGTAATGTAGGGGCCTTAGCAATTAGAATAGGGTTATGGGGTATATTATACTATAACTATCCCCTATGATTATGATGATTATGGTATAATGGGCCCCAAAACCCTATTCCAATCATTAGCCCTGAACCCTAAACCCTAAACCCAAACCCTGAACCCTGAACCCTAAGCCCGGAACCCTAAACCCCTGCACAACTTTGGCGCGAACCCAAAGCCCCCTTTATTAGGCCGCAGCCCAAGCTTCTTAGCAAACCCCTTGGATGTTGCTTGACCAAACTCGAGGCCCTGGATCCTAAGCCGTCAAAGCCCTAGCCTAGGGCCTAGGGGTGGAAACAGGCGTGTGCTCTTAAGGGCTTTTAGGCTTTTGGGTTTGGGGGTTCTGAGCTTTATGCTTAGGTTTAGGGCTTCATGGTGTCTTTGGAGTATCCTTTATGGGTCCTTCTCCAGGGTTTGTTTAGGGTTCCTTTCAGGAATGTCTTTGAGGTTCCTTTCAGGGTTCATTGACGGTCTACCCATAGGCCCCATGGTCGTTCTTTTTTGGGATTACCTGATAGGACCCTAAATACAAACCACACAAAGGAATGCTATGGGGTCTATGGGTAGTAGCTCTGAGTTTCCAGGAAGACCATGGAGTACTTCACCAGCATCCTCCACAGGCAAGGGCGACGGCTGAGTGTTATCGAGTTTATGGTTTAGGGTCTGACTCAGGGTTGAGGGGTTGAGGGTTTACAATTGAGTGCTTCAGGGTTTTGGGGTTTAGGGGATGTTGGTGCCGAAGTAGTAGAAATCTTCTCAGCAAACTTGATTGATGACAGCCGATCAATCCTCCCATCTTCATGGCGGCGGAAGTTTCCAGGGTGTTGACTAAACCCTACGCCCCTAGATTCTAACCCCCTCTACCCCAAGTCCATAAACCCCCCGAAACTCCTAAACACCCAAACCCTAAACCCCTAAACCCAAACCCTACATTGCCAAACCCAAGTCGTTCTGATTCGCCTGTTTTATTTGTGCTTTTCCGTTCGGATGTGATGCAAACATGGACGTCATTCGGCTTCGGGGCTTTGGGTCTAGGGTTTAGGGTCTGGGGTTTAAGTTTGGGGTTTCGGGGCTTAGGGTTTAGGGTTTAGGGTTGAACAGCTGGCCCTAAACCCTAAACCCTAAACCCTAAAACCCTAAAACCCTAAACCCTAAACCCTAAACCCTAAACCCCTAAACCCAGAACCCCTAAACCCCTAAACCCCTAAACCCCTAAACCCCTAAACCCTAAACCCCGCTGGCTTAAGGGAACTCTTGACAATGGATGTCCTTCGAGGTTCGGGCATGTGGGAGCTTCCG